CCTTATCAAATTTCTACTGGCTTTCTTTGCAGAAATGGACATGCCTAGCCTCAAATTCATGTGGAATTCTAGGTGGCCTTGAATAGCTAACACAACATCAAAAAAGAAAAACAAAACTGAAAAGACTCACACTTGCCAATTTAAAAATTAACTAAAAAGAAATAGTAATCAAAATAGTGTTGTACTGACATAAGGATGGACATACAGACCAATGAAATATAATTTAGAGTTTAGAAATAAATCCATATAAATGATGATAGAGGAAGACTTGACTTGGGTGGTGAACACACAATACAATATACAGATGATGTATTATAGAATTATATACCTAAAACCTACATCATTTTATTAACCAATGTCACCCCAATGAATTCAATAAATTAGAATAAGGGTGCCAATACCTTATCATGGAAAAAGAATATAGTATATTTAATAAGTGCTTCTGAGATAAGAAGATAACCACATACGAAAGAATGAAGCTCAACCCCCACCACCTCACTACATATAAAATGTACCTCAAAATGGATCAATGACCTAAATATATAAGAGCTAAAGCTATGAAGCCCTGGCTAGGTAGCTCAATTGGTTAGAGTGTCATCCCTATATGCCAAGGTTGTGGGTTTGATCCCAGGTCAGGGTATATACAAGAATCAACCAATGAATGCACTAATAAGTGAAACAACAAATCCGTCTCTCTCTCTCTCTCTCTCTCTCTCTTCCCTCTCTTCCTTTCTCTCTAAAATCAATTTTTTAAAAAAAGCTAAAGATATGAAACCATTAGAAGAAAATATAGGGGTAAATCTCAGATTTGGCAACAGATTATCAGATTTGACATCAAAAGTATAGGAACAAAATAAGAAAAAAAATAAATTGGACTTTGTCAAAATTTAAAACTTTTGTGCATCAAATAACATTATTGAGAAACTGAATATACCCCACAGAATAAGCAAAAATATTTGCAAATCATGTATCAGACAAGGGTTCTGTACCCAGAATAAAAAAAAAAAAAACCCTCTTACAACTCAATAACAAAAAGACAAATAGGTCAGTTTAAAAACAGGGGAAAGATTTGAAAGGACTTTTCCAAAGAAGATATACAAATGGACAATAAGCACATGAACATCAATGGTCATTAAGGAAATGCAAGTTAAAACCACATCAAGACACCACTTAACAATGGCTATAATTAAAAAATGGAAAATAAAAAGTGTTAACGAGTATGTCGAGAAATTGGAACCCTTGTACATTGCTGTTAGAAATGTAAAATGGTACAGCTACAATGGAAAACAGTTTGGCAGTTTCTCAAAAAGTTAAACATAGAATTACCATATCAGGGGCTAGGTGGAGGTAGTCAAAGAAGGGAGAAATGGAGATATCTGTAATAGTGTCAACAATGACACATCAATTTTACTCCTAGGTATACATCCAAAAGAACTAAAAATAGGTACTCTAACAAATCCATATACAGGCATCTTCATAGCAGCATTATTCACAATAGTCAAAAGGTGGGAACAGTTCAAATGTCTATCAGTAATGAATGATAAACATATTGTGGAATAAACATAGAATGGAATATTATTCATCCATAAAAAGTAACAAAATATTGATATATGCTACAGGTTGGATGAACCTTAAAAGCATGCTCAACACAAGAAGCTAAAAACAAAAAGTCACATATTTTATGATTATAATATATCCAAAATCAGCAAATTCATAGAGACAGAAAGCAGAGTATAAAAAAAGAACTAAAACAGAAGATACTGCACCAAAGTGGCCCACCAAGTCATGTTTCCTCAGATCAAAGAACACACTTTCATTCTTAGAGTTACAATTTGACAGAGAATTAGAATGGGCAACTGAAACAGTTCTTGTCTAAAATGGAGGGAATAAAGAAAGGTGTGAGAACTGGCTTACATGCTTTCGTGACTGTGTACTCACATTCTACATGAGTGGGGTCAAGGACATATCCTGCTAGACAGATTCCTCCCCTTCTCTACAGGGAAGGAATCTCTAAGGGGCTGGGATGGGGAGGAGGCAGGTATAACAATACTTTTCTAGTCTACTAAAACTGCCTCTCACTAGCCATGCCAACCAGAAGCCAGAGGGCAAGGGAGCCAATGATGCAATCAACACGGGCCAGGAAGAGGTTGGGAGATCTGGGAGAACAAATGGAAAATATTCAACAGTTTCTCTCTAAGACAAGAATCATTGACTGCATTATGAAGGCTAAGAAGTTCAAGAATAGTGATCAGAGAAAACCATGAGGCAGGATATAGTAAGAAGCTAGGAAAATTCCTTGGCAAGTGGAATGGGGAAACTGAGATGGATAATGAACAAACTGACCAAGCAATTTACAGCCAGATATGGGTCAACAGGGTAGAAAGCCCTGGGTTCCTAGCAACAGGCAAAACTGCCTCCAGACCTCATTCCCAGGGTGGCCTTTCCTCCCCTGGCATAAAAAAAACTAACAACAACGAAAAAATTTTTTTTCTTTGTTCCCACATGAGTGCAAACTCTTTCCCTATCTAATGTAGTTGTTCTTGGATTAGGGCTGCAACTGCAGGTGCCAGAAGCTGGGCATGTATCCATTTGCTAGAGTTGCTGTAATGAAGTACCATTACCTGGGTGGTTTAAACAACAGAAATGTATTACCACCCAGGGTTACAGCCTAGAAGTCCAAAATCAAGGCACTGGCAGGGTTGGTTCCTTCTGAGGCCTATGGGAGTCTTTTCCTTAACTCCCTCCGAGCTCCTGGTTGCCTCAGGCTTATAGATTGTGATCTCCCCGTGTCTTCACATTGTCATTCTTCTATGTGTGTTTGTCTCTGCGTCCAAGCCTCCTCTTTTCATAAGGAAACAATTATATTGGATTAGGGACCCTTCTAATCACCTCATCTTAACGGGATCATCTGCAAAGACTCTATTTCCAAATAAGTTTACATTCATTAGTAGGACTTCAACATCTTTTGGGGATGGGGGCACAATTCAACCCATAACAATCTCTAAGCAGGAAACTTTAACTATATTTTAAAATATTTATGTTAAGAGTTCCTATGGGCCTGATGGAGTGGATGGTGCTTTTGCCCTCTTTGGCAAAACTGAGGTTCACTGGCTCCTCCAAATGTTAGGCATATTTATAATGATACTACTCAACAAATAGAATGCAGTGGAAGTGATACTGCATGACTTTCCAGGCTAAGGTATAAAAGGCAACATGACTTGCACCTGTTCTCTCAGTCTCTTGGAACACTCATGACTTGAACCCAGACATTAGGCTGTGAAAAAGCCCAAATTAGCAGATGTGGAAAGACCACATGAAGAGGCCCACATGGAGAGGAACTAGAGCCCACTATACCCTGTAAAACTTCCTAACCATGAACACCATAAATGCTCACTGTATGTCACTAAGTTTTATAGCAACTGGTTACACAGCCATCAATAACCAAACAGTGTTCAAGTAATTTACAACCAGAGGTAAAGATACATAAGGATCCAAGTAATTAGTATAAGGCAGGAGGTGCTAATTACTACATGGGCCTTTGGAGAGAAACATTTTAAAGACCTAAGTCTAGCTAAGGGCTGGAGAAGTGGGGGGAAAGGGAAAGGCTTCACAGAAGTAACTTTTCAGCATGGGCCTAAAAGACAACTTTGAAAAAAGCAATCACAGTAAGAAAAAGGAAGGTGTGCTAGAACTAGGTGGCAAAGTAACATATCTGATGGACCTCCTTAAAGACAAAACTTCAACTTATTTTCTACATAATATCCAATCAATCCTGAAACAGTATCAAACTATTTGAAGGACACCATAGAAACGTCACTTAGCCCTGGCCGGTTTGGCTCAGCGGTTAGAGTGTTGGCCTGTGGATCGGAGAGTCCCAGGTTCGGTTCCTGCTAAGGGCACATACCTTGGTTGCAGTTTGTCCCCAGCCCTGGTTGGGTCGTGTGGGTGGCAACCACTCAATGTGTCTCTCTCACATCGATGTCTCTCTCTCTCTCTCCCTCCCTCCCTCCCTCCTGCTCTATCTGAAGATAAATGCAAAAAATGTCCTCGGGCCATGACCAGTTTGGCTAATCCTTGGGTGAGGATTAAAAAAGAAAAAGAAACATCACTCTAAAAAGAAACAAGGTAGAATTCTAGAGACTGACTTTAATCACACGTATTAAGTTTCTTACTGGTTAATCTCCATGCAAAGGGCTAATTCCACCCCTAAGAAACGATAGTTCCTTATCAATGCTCCTTTGATGTACTGGCCAAGGTAAAATCCAGTATTCTGCCTGTTCATTTTTCTAGACCCTATATCAGCCTAATGACAGCAATTTTACATGGTTAGCATGCCTTTGAGTTCTAGGGGTGATTTATAGGGAGGCGTTTGTCTTGAACCAAAATGAAAAGAGCCAGCAGCGCCTAATGACAGCCATAAAGCTGAGTAAATTCATATACTGCTTTAATTGTTGAAATTTACCCTGTTTCCCTGATAAGGGCATAAGGACTATGTCTACAGGCATCAGGACAACAACCTGGAAAATAATCATCATTTACCAAACCAAATCAAAGCATTTAACTCTTTAAGCTGTACTGTACAAGCAGCAGCCTGAAAGCAGTACTGTTGAACACCCTGCTCAGCAATGACTAACTCTTCAGTCTGTTCAAGAGACTCACCTTCAATGTGGGATCCCTTCCACCAAATCAGACTTCTTCTTTTTTTAAAAAACAAAATACTTTTTCTTTACTGATTTTAGAGAGAGAGAAAGGAAGAGGGAGAGAGAGATAGAAACATCGATGAGAAAGAACATCGACTGGCTGCCTCCTGCATGCCCCGCACTGGGGATCATGCCCAAACCTGGGCATGTGCCCTGACTGGGAATTGAACTGGTGACCTTTTGGTGCATGGGTTGACGCTCAACCAGTGAACTACACCAGCCAGGCCATCAGACTTCTTAAAGTGCTCAGTTAGGCAGTCCTTTAAAACCATGAAACTTCAGAATTTACATTCTCCTCACCTCATAAAACTTTTTCAGGGAGCCTACCAGGCACAGCTTCAGGCTATCCACAATCTCCTGATGAGGCATCTGGAACACTACTTGTGAATACCATTTTGTGAGGGTGCTGGGTGGAGGCAGAGAGAGAAAGAAAAAAGGATGAGCACGCTCACAGAGGAAGACCCACAGTCTGAACGTCAGCACACAGGCTTCTCTATGCACCAGACCGACAAGAAGTAGTAAATGCATTTATGTTACATGTAAAAATACAAAGTGATGTGGGGAAAAGATATAAAATATATATGCCATATACAGAATGTAAAAAAAACAGGCATAATTGTGAATATTCATTACAAAACTGCTTCCAGTTGAAAAAAATTGGACTATGTAGATATCCACCAATAGAGGACTAGTTAAATAAATAGTGCCGTTGACATACAATAAACTCCAGTTAAAGAGAATCGGAGATTTACTTGTATTGACATGGGAAACTGTCCAAAATATACAGTTTAAGTACAAAAATCAAGCTGAGGAACAGTACACCTAGTACTCTGCCGTTTGTATATACATATGTAGAGCACCTATGTGTGTCAATATCTATGCATAGAAGAGAATTTGAAAGTATATATACATCAAACCTTAGGTAGAGGTTAACAGATGAGCCATGAAAAACTCACTTGTTAAATTTCTTCAGATATTTGCGTGAACATGTCTTATTTTTACAATCAAAACAAACAGAAACAACACCTTCCCTCATTTCTGGGGGAAAAAAAATACACTGAAAGGACATAGCCCCCACCCTGAAGGAGATGGCATTGCAGCCAGGAAACATACTTACACATGTGACAAGTTTGGTAAATAGACTATAGAAACTAATATCACAGGAAGGAGGAAGGACTTGAATATATTTTTATATATTAGGTAAAAGAAAGTATACTTTTACTATAATAAAAAATACTCAAAAATATGTGCTGTATTTATAAGATTAGATACCAAAAGGTAACGAAACAAAATGGCATGATGAGGAGTACTTACAGGTTGATGCTTGCCACAAAGCCGACCACGGAGCGCATGCCTTTGCCAGGGCCATGGTAAACATCCATCCCAATTACCATTAACTGTTTCTGTGTTAGAAAACATAAAATGAATAAAAACACCCACAAGCCATCCATCACCCCATCTTTAATTATCACCTGAAACCCAAAGCAACAAATGAAAACAAGTTTTGGAAAAGGAATAGAAAGACTGGAATCAACTCGACATTTATTAATTTAATTTTGTTAATCCTCACCCGTGGACATTTTTCCATTGATTTTTAGATAGAGTGGACGGGTGTGAAGGGGGGAGAGAGGGAGAGAGAGAGAGAGATCAATGTAAGAGAGACACATCAATTGGTTGCCTCCTGCACAACCCCCTGACCAGGGCCCAGAGATCGAACCTGAAACCCAGGTATGTGCCCTTGACCAGCAACCAAACCCAAGACCCTTTGGTCTGCAGGCCAACACTGTAACCGCTGAGCCAACCTGGCCAGGGCCATCTAACCATTTTTAAAACACTATACAAAGAGATCTAGATCAGGGATCAGGCACACTTTGTCTGTAAAGGACTAAAAAGTAAATAACTGTCTTAGGTTTGTGAGCCGCACAGTCCCTGTAGGAACTATTCAGTTCTTCCATCACAGCAGGAAAGAAGCCACAGATGGTACATAAAGAAATGTGGTATGTTCCAATAAAACTTTAAGAATACTGACAACTATCTTTACATAATTTTCATGTGTCAGAAAGTATTAGCCTTATTTTTGTTTCACCATTAAAAATACAAAAATTATTCTTAGCTCATGGGCTATATAAAAATAGGCAATGAACAATGTTAGACTACTAAGCACTAAGAGAAGGGCTAACTCTATGAGGAAAACAGCTAGGCAGGATTCTCTGGAGAGTTGAATTAAATGAAGACATATCTTAGCATCACTCACCAGAGGAATATCCACTCCCCAGAGCTCACCACCCAATTTACAGTTAATCTGAAGTAAAATTTTCTGGGCCACACTCCGAAGCCTGGTGGGCTGACCAATGGTTCGGACATTGATTACCTATAATGAAGGGTCCAAAAGGTATAGGAAAAGATGTCACTATCAACCTCTCAGACATTGTAAACAATTCAAAGTATATATTATATTTGTTTAAGAAACTCCAGTTAGTAGTTAATACACTTTGTATTAATGGTTCTAATTCTAGGATTTCTAGGCAGGCACATAAACATGCACACACACACAAACACAAACCAAAATAAAAACAACAAACAAAACTTTCAAAAGATCTCATGCAGAGTAGAAATTTTTTTCAATCTCCATAGGAAAATAGCTGTCCCCTCTTTTTAAAAAAAAATCCTCACCGGAGGGTATGTTTTACTGATGAGAGAGAGAGAGAGAGAGAGAGAGAGAGAGAGAGAGAGCGCGCGCGCGCTTGATTGATTTATAAGAGAAACATCTATGGGATGCCTCTCATGCACCCCCACTGGAGATGAACCCACAACCTAGGTATGTGTCCTGATCAGGAATCAAACTGGTAACCTTTCAGTGCATGGGACAACACTCCGACCAATTGAGCCACACCTGCTAGGACAGCTTTCCCCTCTTTGATGAAGCCTATACTCTCAGAACCCAGTCATGTGAAACCACCTGGAGACTCACCGCTGAACAAGCAAAAGTACTTATTTGGGAACATGGAGGCAGCATTTATGAAGAGCATCTGCTATTCTCCAGGTTACACTAATAAGGGGAAGGTTTTATAGGAGGGTGTTCCCATGCTAGCTTCTAAGAGTTACTTTAGTCTTTTTGTATACACGTATCCCCTTTTCCAAGCCTCAAGGGAGGCTAGTTTCCATCTGTGCCTCCTGCCCGGTTCTTACTCACCTGCGAAGGCACTGGAGCCTGCACACAGCACAGCTTTTTAATGGCCCCATAGAGATCATCACGTGTGCCCATGATGATGCACACAACCATCTGTATCTTCCCCTTGAGGAGACAAAGTATATATAAGTCAGGCTTGGGAACTCTGACAGGGGTCCAGTCAGAGGCAGTTTGAGAGTCTGCAAAGCCAAGGTACCTTTAAAGTAGAGAGGAGAGCCCTGGCCAGTTTGGCTCAGCCGTTAGAGCACCGCCTGAGGACCAGAGAGTCCCGGGTTTGGTTCCGCTAAGGGCACATACCTCGGTTGTGATTGTCTCCGGCTCAGTTGGGGTCATGTGAGTGGCAGCCAGTCGATGTGTCTCTCTCACATCGATGTTTCTCTCTCTCTTCTTCCCTTTCTCCCTCCTGCTCTATCTGAAGATAAATGCAAAAATGTCCTCAGGTGAGGATAAAAAAAGCAAAAAAAAATAAGGTAGAGAGGAGACTGAAACAAAGATGATGGACATTCTAATACAGAAAAGGGTCCTTTTTTTTTTTTTTAACCTCACCCGAGGACATTTTTCCATTTTTTGCACAGACAGAGTGGGAGGGAGAGAGAGGAAGAGAGAGAGGGGAAAACATCAATGTGAAAGGGACACATCGAGTGGCCGCCACCCGCACGACCAACCAGGGCCGGGGACAAACTGCAACCGAGGTATGTGCCCTTAGCGGGAACCGAACCCGGGTCTCTCCGGACCGCAGGCGGACACTCTAACCGCTGAGCCAAACCGGCCAGGGCCAGAAAAGGGTCCTTGAACCCAAGTGTTGGGTCCAGGGTTTCTTTGCATAGATACATAATATGTCACCAAAAATCATCGAGAAATGATTATCTCATTTATTTATTAGGAGACTTAAGATGCCTGAAAAAAGACAAGACTTGAAAATATGCAAGGGTTATTTATTATTTGCTGCTTTCAATTCTCTGTAATGTTTTTACCACTCTCTTTAGTAAACTAAGCACTCTATTACATTCATACCACAGAACGTGAACTGAGAACACACTGAATGCAATACCACAAGAAACAATTCAGGGCCAAATGCAGGTGGAAATGAAGCTGGAAATGAAGCTACTGACAAATCTATAAGTAGCACTCACGTGCACACGCGCGCTCTCTCTCTCTCTCTCTCTCTCCCCTTAGGAGAGAATGATACTGCTAGCAGCACATCTTGTATCAGCACCCTCTACCCCTCACTGCTTTAGAGATCCAGCATTAAAACAGAGGATCTTTCAAAGTCTGAATAAAGAAAAGCAGCACCCCAGTGAAAGAAAGTTACCAACCCTTTATAGCAGAATGACTACAAATGGTAAATCAATAGCATTCTATTCCAAATCAAGATCAGTGTTAGATTAAGACTTCTCAGAGGATACTTCAGCCATCACATCAAAGAACTTCTAAAGTCACACAGAACACAGAGTGTACACAGGAGCCTATAGGCTGGATTTGACAAACAGATGTGGTTTTTCAGTCCCTACAATAATTTTTAAGTTTTTTTATTATTATTATTAACATTTAAACACTAGGGAGATGCACACATATGCAAATCTAGATTTCTGGCTTCCACTGAAAACAAACAAATTAAAAATCAATTTGACCAGGGGTGGCAGGAGATCAGGAGGAGAGTGTCATTGTAACAAAAATGAATTAATTTCAAAAAATTAAAAGTAAATAAATAAAAAATAAAAACAAGTAAAAAAAAAAACCAATTTGATAATGCTGGGCTTTTTCTGCAGTCATGGGGTTTACTCTTTTTAATTCATTACAGTCCCCTCTTGGCCCACTCAACTTATGTGTGTTCCTCATCTGGCTCCAGTAGACATCTGAGTTTGTGACCCCTAACAAAGAGAGTACTAAAACAACAGAATGCTATAAAGATTAGAGAGCCCTGGCCAGTATGGCTCAGTTGATTGGGCGTCATCCCATGCACCAAAAGGCTGCCAGTCCGATTACATGTCAGGACACATGCCCAGGTTTCAGGCTCAATCCCTGGTGGGGGTTGTGCAAGAGGCAGCTAATAGATGTTTCACTCTCACATTGATATTTCTCTCTTCCTCTAAGAATCAATAAAACTACTTTTTTTTTTTTATCCTCACCCGAGGACATTTTTCCATTTTTTTGTTCAGATAGAGTGGGAGGGAGAGAGAGGAAGAGACAGAGAGAGAAACATCGACATGAAAGGGACACATCGAGTAGCTGCCACCCGCACGACCAACCAAGGCCATGGACAAAGTGCAACCTAGGTATGGGCCCTTAGCAGGTCTCTCTGGACCGCAGGCAGATGCTCTAACTGCTGAGCCAAACTGGCCAGGGCAATAAAACTATTTAAAAAAATTTTTTTTAAATTACAGAAACAGCAAGACCAATATGAGTTAAATGGTAAACATTATGAATGAAACTCATATCCATGCTGCATGAAAGCTGTTGGCAATACAGTCTAAGGAAGAGAATAGGAGAAGTTGTGAAATGAGGAAGTTGATGTACTGAAGAGCAGACTTTATCAATGACCAGGCCCAGGGGGAGGCCACAGCAGAGTGCAGTAGGCATGAGAAGTCATTACAAAAAGAAAGAGAACATGAGCCTGGTCCGTGTGGCTCAATGGTTGAGCAATGACCCATGTACCAAGAGGTCACTGGTTCGATTCCCAGTCAGGGCACATGCCCAGGTTGTGGGCCAAATCCCCAGTGGGGGGCATGCAGGAGGCGGCCAGTCAATGTTCCCTCTCATCAATGTTTCTATCTCTCTCTCCCTTCCCCTCTCTCTAAAAATTAATAAACAAAAAATTAAAAATAAATAAATAAAAAAAGAGAACACGAGTGTGCTGCTATTGATGGAAACACCCAGAGTGGTGAATCAAAGAGAGAAAGCTATGATGCCAAGATAATCTGATTCTGGTACTGATCCCACAAGAACTGATCTTCAAGGACTATTTACTTCCAAGAACTTTCCACTTCTTTTGTTTCCTCCTTAACCTTCTTCACGTTTTATGTACATACAGTTAAAATTGCAGGCCTGAACTACTGAGTTGTGAGGACTATGACCTGCTCAGCTCCAGTGATCCCAACTATTAGCACCGAGCTGATGGGCATCTGCCAAGTTCATCACTAGAGCAATTTGAATCTAGAGGCAGACCAGATTGGAACAGCTCAGTACTGAATCGTGCAAGATGGCACCTAGCCCAAGAAGTTGCTTTCTGAGCACAACATGTTCTATATAGATAACGAACTAAGTTAAGTCAGCTATTCTCTGGGCCAATTACATGATGAACAGAACACTAGAGTGATTAAGTGCCAACACAGAATAAGAGAAGCAAAATTAACTGAAGGGCATAAAGGCTATTTTTTCTTTCTTTTTTTAAATTTATCCTTATTGTTGAATATATTACAGATGTTCCTCATTTTTCTCCCATTGACCCCCCCACTCCTGCCCCCCTCCTGCCTTTCCCCACACTGTTGTCTGTGTCCATTGGTTATGCAAATATGCATATAAGTTCTTTGGTTTATTTCTTCCCACTCCCCTTCTCTTTGAGGTTTGTAAGTCTAAAAACCAATTTGTACTTCTCAATCTCTTCACCTTTTTCACCCATTCTCCCAACCCCCCTCCCATCTGGCAACCAACAAAATGTACTCTGTATCTATGAGAATATTTCTGTTCTGCTTGTTCATTTTGTTTGTAGATTTAATTGTCAGTAGATGTGTATTTATTGCCATTTTGTTTGTTCATATTTTTTATCTTCTTTTTCTTCAAGACCCTTCAACATTTCATGTAATACTGGTATGGTGGTGATGACCTCCTTTAGCTTTTTCTTGTCTGGGAAATTTTTTTTTTTTTTTTTTTTTTATCCTCACCCGAGGACACTTTTCCATTTTTTGTTCAGATAAAGTGGAAGAGAGAAAGAAACATCGACGTGAAAGGGACACACTGAGTGGCTGCCACCTGTACGACCCAACCAGGGCCGAGGACAAACCGCAACCGAGGCACATGCTCCCAGCGGGAACCGAACCTGGGTCTCTCTGGTCCGCAGGCCGACGCTCTAACCACTGAGCCAAACCGATCAGGGCAGGAAATTCTTTATATGTCCATCAAGTCTAAATGATAGCTTTGCAGGATAGAGTAACCTTGGTTGTAGGTTCTTACTTTTCATCACTTTGAATATTTCTTGCCACTTCCTTCTGGCCTGCAAAGTTTCTTTTGAGAAATCAGCTGACAGTCTTATGGGGATTTCTTTGTAGGTAACTAAGTGCTTTTCTCTTGCTGCTTTTAAGGTTTGTTGTCTTGAACATTTTGCATTTTGATGATGATGTGTCTTGGTGTGGGCCCCTTAGGGTTCATCTTGTTTGGGACTCTCTGTGCTTCCTAGATTTGTATGTCTGTTTCCTTCACCAGGTTAAGGAAGTTTTCTGTCATTACAGTTTCAAACAGGTTTTCAATTTCTTGTTCTCTCTCTCCTCCTTCTGGCACCCCCATGATGTGCATGGTTTGTTTCTTGGCTTTACTTTCTCTACTATTCAATCTGTAAATTATTCTTTATTTCAGTTAGTGCTTCCTTCATTTCTGACTGGTCCTTTTTGATGCTCTTGAGGCCCTCACTAAGTCACCAAGTTCTCACTAAGTTCTCACTAACCGGCCAGGGCAGTTTAGTTGTAATTTTGATGTAGTTGTTGGAGGCGGTGAGATTGTGTTTACTTACGCCACCATCTTGACCAGAAGTCTCTCTCTCTCTCTTTTTTTTTATTAAGACCTTTTTTTTCTTTATTGACTTCAGAGAGAGAGGAAAGGGGAGAGAGAGAGGTAGAAACGTCGATCAGGGAGAACATCGACCGGCCGCCTCCTGCATGCCCCACACTGGAGATCAGGCCCACAACCAAGGCATGTGTCCTGACCGGGAATCGAACCAATGACCTCTTAGTGCATGGGTCGATGCTCAACCACTGAGCCACACTGGCCGGACTCTTGTTTTTTTTTTTTAATTGATTTTGTTTTAGAGAGAGAGGAAAATAGAGAGAGAGAGAGAGAGAGAGAGAGAGAAACATTGATGTGCGAGCAAAATGTTTGATCAGCTGCCTCCTGCTCCCCCCTACAAGTGATTGAGCCTGCAACACAGGCATGTGCCCTGACCAGATTCGAATCGGCAATCTTTTAGTACCTGGGACAATGCCAAACCAATTAAGCCACACCAGTCAGGGCAAGGCTATTTTCTTAGTTCACTGTTACATGTGCAGATCAGTAGGACACAGGTTTCAACAGCAGAATGATAACCAAGGTTATTTAAAATCAAGTAGTCAAAGTATTTTAGAGCAGATATTTGATAAATCTACTCAAATTATTACCTCAGCTCTCAGCATGGATTGAATGGTTCTGACATAGGTCTCTATTCGATCATCCTTTAGTTCAACCCAGGCGGGTGGGCTCATGCGCATGCCAATGGGGCCAGCTACCTTCTCTAACATGTTAACCAGTTCTTGGGCCTGGTCCATTGCTCTTTTTGGGTAAAAGAGTGCCCAGAAATGCATGGGTACCTAGGAACAACCACAAATTATTTTTTGTACTTTCCATAACTTCAACACTCCAAACTCACACCCCAGAGATGTTGTTATAAGTTGCTTCTTACGCTCTTGGCTTGAGTCCTTATCTACTTCCTATTACTAACACAGATGTGTGTGAGAAGTAAATTGGGGCGTGGAGTACTATACAGCAATGAGAATGCAAGCTCTATAACCATACCTAACTATATAGGTGAAACTCAATAATACAAGGTTGAAGAAATAAAGCTGGACATACAAGATTGTTTACTGTATGGTTTCAAGTACAAAAACAGTTGAAACAAATCTATGCTGTGAGAAGTCAGGGTAGTGGCTATTCTTGGGGTGTGTAAGGGTTCGAGAATAGGTAGTAACTAGGAACATGGATGGGTACTTCTGGAGCACTGGTAACGTTGTGTTTCTTAACCCTTGGTGTTGATCATACAGGTCTACTTAACGTGAAAATTCATCAAGCTATACACTTGCAAGGGTAGTTTTTTCTTTAAATATATTGTATTACAATGAAAAGTTTTAGAAACAGATGTGTGTACTTTATATGAGGCTATAAAGACCAGGTTAACCAAAAACATTTAAAAATAATTATATACCATTTTGTTTTTTGGTTCTCTTGGTAGGAAACTGTTTTCATTTTGCTTGTTTCATGAATAAAAACACCTTCCAGGAACCCCCAGGGAAAAAGAGGGGGGAAGAAAAAGGAAGAGTGGGTGGTAGGCTGGCACTATATGCAATTTATTTTTTTTCTTAAGTCCATGGTCAAGAAAAGGGCTTACTTCTAACAACTTATCACCTTACTCTCTTTGAAAGACCCTATTTAGAAGATAATTAAAGATGGAAATTCAGTTGAAACGTTCTCTCAATAAGAGGACACTAAATCATTCCTCCTTCCTAATTTCCACCATTTTAGGAATACCAGTCTTCACTTTATCACCTTGGAAATCACTTACAGTCAAGATGGAAAGGTCCCTGGTTATTTCCTTAATCCAGTTTACTTCCTGAGATGTGATAAATGAAGTACTTCTTAAGTTAATTCTTTCCATTGGCAGGACCCGTCCTTCAATCTAAACAGAAAAGAAAGTACCTATGACATGAGCTATCTGCAAACACTATTTAGAAAAACACTGATATATTCTCTCCGGGGCCCGGTCAGCTCCACAACATAGACTTGCCTCTGTTATATCTTCTGAGAATGGCATAAAATTAAACTGCTAGCAGTGAGAGTCCATGTCAATAAAACCCCAGACACGTGCAGGTAAAATTTTTATAGGCACTGCTCTTTAATTATTGAAGCCTTCAACATAGTCTCCCAAAAAAGGGATCAGAAAACATTGTCCTTTTAGAAGTAGAGAATGCATGTAAAACAACTATAATTTCAAGGTGAACAGAATATAATCTTTAAGTGTATTTTAAGGGGAAAATTGAAAGTAGAAAATTAAAGGTAAAGTTTCTTAATAATGCTGAATATAAACTACTATTCTACTTTATACAAAGAAAAAGTTGAGAGGAAAAGGCATAAACATAATGAAAGAACAAATTATAGTTAAGAATAACAAATCAGTTAGACCTAAATATCCCAAAATAGGAAGATAACTAGGTTGACAATATATCAGCATGACTAGTTTGCAATCTTTAAAATCACTTTCTAACTACATATAATATAATCGTGTTTTTGCAAAAAAAATAAATAAATAAACAGCAAGGTACACACACACCATAGAAAACGAAGTGAGTCGACACTCGGTAGTGATTATCTCTGGGAAAGTGTAATTATGGAGGATTTTTACTTCTGTGATCTCTACTACTGCTTCTTTTTTTTTTTTTTTTTTTTATCCTCACCCGAGGATATTTTTCCATTTTTTGTACAGATAGAGTGGGAGGGAGAGAGAGAGAGAGAAACATCGATGTGAAGGGACACATCGAGTGGCTGCCACCCGCACGACCAACCAGGGCCGGGGACAAACTGCAACCGAAGTACGTGCCCTTAGCGGGAACCGAACCCGGGTCTCTCCGGACCGCAGGCCAACACTCTAACCGCTGAGCCAAACTGGCCAGGGCACTACTGCTTCTTTAAAAAAACAACAACAACAAAAAAAAACACCCTGGCCAGTTTGGCTCAGGGGTTAGAGCCTCAGCCCAAGAACCAGAGAGTCCCAGGTTCAATTCCCACTAACGGCACGTACCTCGGTTGCAGTCCCCAGCCCCAGTTGGGGTCGTGTGGGTGGCAACCACTCGATGTGTCTCTCTCACATCAATGTTTCTCTCATTTCTCTCTCTCTCTCTCTCTTCCCCCCTTTCCCTCCTGCTCGGGTGAGGATAAAAAAATACTTTATAATAAAAAAAACAGTTTTAATGGGTTTTATAAATTATAAAAGTCTATCTAACACAATGAATAACAATACTCATATTAGCAAGAGTGTAAAGAGTTAGACTCATCTTATGCTTATGAAAGTAATTTGAAATAGAAAACTGAAAATGAGGTAAAATTTAAGTCAATATTCCTCTGCAACCTAATTGACAAAATTAACAGCAGAGATCCCTGGGAAATACAGAAGAAGAATCTGTAAGAGATACTAGGAAAATTAAATCCAAGAAATTCAAGTATTATGACTAGGATCAAAAAAAGTAAAATAATAAAGCAAGAACTCCAAAATAAAGATTAAGACAGGAAGTAATCACTTAGTCTCACAAAGCTCTGAAATTGTTGGTTTCCTACCCCATCACATTTTCTTAGTTACCTTATGTACATCCTTCTGCAGATAGAGTCCCCAACGTGTTAGTTCATTGCTGGCTGTCTCATTCTTTGAAATTCTCTGAATCAAGCATTCCAAAGCATTATGGTGCTGCTTGGGGCTCAGGTTGATCTGCTGGGTCAAATCCTAAATAGAATTAAAATGGAGATAATTAGTTGTAAGTAAGACTTTCTTCAATGTGAAGTTAAATAAACCCCAATGAATCTTAAATGTTTCCATAAGAAAGCTCCTTAACATTGAAATCTGTAGAAATTTCCAAATATCTTCAAGGACTTTAATAAGTATCTCTCAGGGATCTTAATAAGGTATAAGATTAGATTTTTTATCATAAGAGAATTTTAAATGTTGTTTCTTTCTCCCTCATGGCATCCAAGTCTTATCTCTTTTTCAAAGATGTGTTCTGAATTTAAAATTCCTAGAAGATTCTATGAAACAGGAGCAAAGGGAGATTGATTTTACCTATTTACATTTGGAAAAAATGGGGGGAAATGCCCTTTGCCAGACATCCTAAACATAACAGAATGAAAAACCACATCCAGTCTTATACTATGTCATTATACCAGTCATTTAATGTCATCATAAGACATGTTTTTTTTGTCCAGAGGTTAACTCATGATAGTTGCTTTCTAAATATTTATTGTTGAATGAGTATCTAACAAGTGTGTATGAAGATTCTGAATCACGTAAGTGAGTTCTTTATTCTTCAGGAACTAATAAATTATACAGCTGTTGTTACCTGGGAGGCAGTCAGAGTCATTAAGTCTATAAAACTATACAGATAGCTCTGTAATCATAAAGTCATTAGGCAATTGTGAGTTGTAAGAAGGACCCTTGATCCACATATTGAAAGCAGAAGTATTAGAAGTAAACATGAAAGAAATTCTTACATGAATTTTAAGCGTCACTTCAGGCTCTTTATGATGTTACTAAAAATAATATGCGGCATCTGAGACAAGCATGGTCCAAGGATAAGATAGACGTGGATTGGCAAAGTGAGGCAGCAGAGTATCTTAAGTGTGGAAAGCCCCAGGATCACAGAGTGAAGCACACAGGGTCTGGACTTAATCTTTGCTCCTTAGTTATTTTCTACAGCTGAGCCTAAAACTTCCAGGATACTCCAGGCCCCACAAGGTAAACTTCTACCCTTTTACCTAATCCTCTGACTTGCTGACTTTTCCCTACATTATCTCCTCCATCCCTTCAAATAAACTGAAGTCTCATAGAAATGTTTTTTAAAATTCAGTGCTCTCAAAGAATCTCATCTATGATCAAATGATCAGTTTATAGTCATCTATCTGCTTGGTAAGGGTGAATTATTTATTTCCTTTATACCTTATTCTCTGGTCAGTTTATTGTTCTATCAACCTTCGAAAGGAATCTCTGATTGGCTTTTTCAGTGTGTGGGAAGGGACATGGGTCATGTTTTACAGAGATGAAAAACTGAAGCTTGGAAGAATGGACCTGCACAAATAGAGATGCAAGCCTAGTATAGTTCTAGCTCAATCTACTCTTGAAAAGGTCTCCCACTCAAAGAAGGCATTTCTCACCTTCATGGCCCTGAAGTCCTTCTTCATCTTCTCGGGAACCCCAGTCATGAAGGAAAGTTCAGGTAGCAGCAGGATTTCACCTTTTAGCAGCTTTGAAGAGAGAGCAGATAGGGGTAAATAAGGTAGTAAAAGAGGATCCTGTTCCCCTGCCCTGTACAGGACAAGCCATACCCAGTGCTGGCTCTGTAAGGCTACTACTGGCAAACTAAAGAATATAAAACCCCCAAGGACAGTGAAACACTACAGGTCTTTTACCCTTTTAACTTTTAGTCACAATACCTATAGTTTTTGTATTAGGTAAAAAGAAAAATATTGAAACTTTCAAAAGGAGAGAAAGAATTAGAAAAAAAATTCTGTCCCTCTTGAGTCTCCATACAAGCCAAGACAATACATCTAATCAAGCTGGTGTCTCCACCTTATCTTAGCCGGCCAATCTACAGCATTCACACTTAAGACAGAACAGGTAGGTATCAAGGCACTTTCCTCTGGCACCCGACCTCTTAAAAATGTCTAAAACTTCCCTAATGAATCCAGTGTTTTAATCTTTAGCAGGAAATTCTCCTGATTCCTTAATCTAACTTGCTCATATAAATATTTAGCTCACTATGGAGATATCAAAAGCAAATTCTATGGAGGTGGCACTTCTGACTAGAAGACACAGACAAAACTCTGCAACAGCTTTCCCCAATCATGCTGTAATTATTCCTCCTTGGCTCCCAGGGCCATTAAGAAGGCAGAGAGAGGCTGATGGACACCACCCACTCACCATCCCTTGGTTGTTCTGTCTCTCACTGGGCCTGTGGATTAGTAGTGGCTGGTCCTCTTCCTTAATTGTGATTCCATAGTTTTTGCTACAGAGGCACAGAGGCAGGAAAAAAAATTTCAGAAGCAGCATCACTACTCTTACAGCAACATAGTCTGAGTCTTTTAACCAGGACTGAGGTACAAATTTGCATAATACCCTTGGCAAGGGTCCATCAGAAACTCATCATAGCATATTTACATCTGGAAAAAGAAGGCTCAAATTACTGTTGCAATTAAATAGAGAAGAATTAGGAAAATGGACAAGGAAAGAATTTGTTTAAAATTACAGCAAGCTGCCCTGGTTGGTTTTGCTCAGCAGTTAGAGTGTCGGCCTGTGGTCCAGAGAGACCTGGGTTCGGTTCCTGCTAAGGGCACCTACCTCGGTTGCAGTTTGTCCCTGGCCCTGGTTGGGTCATGCGGGAGGCAGCCACTCGATGTGTCCTTTTCACATTAATGTTTCTCTCTTTCTCTCTCTCCCTCCCACTCTATCTGAACAAAAAATGGGAAAATGTCCTTGAATGAGGATAAAAAATAAAATAAAATAAATAAAAAATAAAATAAAATAAAATTACAGCAAGCTAAAGGGCTTAGGCAACCAGAAAGGAAAAATGACAGTTGAATGATTAATGACTTAGAGTTAACCTCTCCAACAAATTTCTAACCAAACCAGCAAAGGAAATATAATTCAAAGCCCTGAGATGCTCTGGCCAGTGGCTCAGTGGTTAGAGAATCAGCCTGCAGACCAAAGGGTTACAGGTTTGATCCCCAAGCAAGGACAAGCACCTGGGTTGCAGGCTCGGTCCCTGGCCCCAGTCAAGGTACATGTAGAAGGCAATCAATTGATGTGTCTCTCTCACATCAGTGTTTCTCTCCCCCTCCTTTCCCATTTCCTCCCTCCTTTCCACTTGCTCTAAAAAAAATCAATGGAAAACAAAATCCTCTGGTGAGGATTAAAAAAAAAAAAAAGCCCTGAGATTAATTTATGAAGTAACTTCCAAAAGTACTAAAAAGAATGAAACTGTAAGAGTGGCATATTTAGGTCCAATCCCACAAAAGAGTTTGTTCATTCTTAGGCACATTACCAATCCAATTATTTTTAAAGTGTCCCACTGTATGCCACTATGGAACTCCATATCCTGCTACAGAATGGTAGACTATGCCCCCCCCCCCCACCACCAAACCCAATCTCCCCTCTCTACCTGTAGTATTCCAAGAATGTGATCTCCTTCCCATCAGACATTGTGAAGCTGTCTTTTGGAGTCTTATTCCAATCTACATCATCAATACGATAGGTACGGTTGTTGTATCGGGTTATGACAATATTGCCAACCAGAAGTTTAGTGCACTCATCCTGGAAGTTTTCTTTGTTCTGTTGATACATGGCATGCCTTTGGAAAGAGACAAAAGACGCTTGGATCACATTTATATACACAGAGCAATATGAAAGGGACTGGTGTTGCAAAAAATACTTCAAGAGTACACTCACAGCTATGCAGCACCAAAAGGCTCCAGTTGTTTCTTTTTAGAACTTACCTCTTCTCTTTTTAACATTATTAAAACAAACAAACAAAAAGCCCAATCAACAAAAATAGCGAAAGAATAAAAATCAAATTTAAAGTAGCAATTACAGCCCTGGCCAGTGTTGCTCAGTGGTTAGTGTCACCCGCAGACCAAAGGGTCAAGTCAAGTGTTCGATTCCTAGTCAAGGGCATGTACCTGAGTTGTAGGTTTGATCACTGGCCCAGGTCAGGGCACATGCAGGAGGCAACTAATTGACGTGTCTCTCTCACATCGATATTTCTCTCCCCACCCCTTCCTCCCTTCTACTCTCTCTAAGAATTAGTGGAAAAGATATCTTCAGGTGAGGATTAACAACAATATCAAAAACAAAACAAAACAAAAAAGACCTAGCAACTACAAATTAATAAAACTCACTGTATTCCTTGAAATAAGATTCTTCAGACATCAAAATCATTATTTTGTATTGTCTGTATTAAGGACAAGAAAACATTAATTAAGCTGTATCTGTCCCTTCTAGCTGAAAGAAGAAACTACAGCACCTATCAAAAGGCAGCACTGGTGAAGATGCTAAGGATGCAGAAATGAAAACACTTATTGCAGACAAATATCCCCTTGCAGTAAGTAACCTCTCTAATGGTGCCGTGAAGAAGGCCACACAGCAAACTTGCAGAAAGCATGTCTGAATATGCCCAAGAAGTCAAGGAAAGTTTACAGAGGCAGCTGATACCTAAAGGAGCAATGTGCTAGGGAGAAACACCAGGGCAGAGGAATGAGTGACACTCCAAGCAGAGGCAGTGGTATGAAGAGGACAATCAGGAATCTGGGACACGGAAAATGAGTAGGTTAAAGAGGGACAGAAGATGGTAAGTGTAGGTTATAGATAGGCAGGGCCCAGATATGAATTCCCTTGTAACTCAAGGAGCAGAACCTGAACTTTTTTCTGTGGGCCAGTGTCACCAGGGTATGTATACTCCTTGGGAACAATCGAGTCCCTTGAGAATCATGAGGAAGTGAAGAAGGTTCCACAATCAAATAAGTTGAGTCCATTCTGCATCTTATAACTCCTTTTTTGACATTCACAACAGATACTACCAGATCAGGCTGCTAAAGGACAGAAACTATTTAATTTCATTTGAAGTTCTTTTATTTTGAAATAATTATAAAATCATGAGGACGAGAGATTTCCAGTAAAGATGGCGGCATAGGTAAACACGGTATCCTGTCCTCCCACAACCACATCAAAGTTACAACTAAACTACAGAACAACCATCATTCAAAACCCCCGGAAATCAAGCTGAATGAAAGTCCTACAACTATGCAATTAAAGAAGCAGCCACATCAAGATTGGTAGGAGGGACAGAGGCAGAGGGGCTGGTCCCACACCCATGTGTGACAGATAAAAAACAGGAGGATGCCCTGGCTGGTTTAGCTCAGTGGTTAGAACGTCGATCCAGGTTCGGTTCCCACTAAGGGCACGCACTTCGATTGCAGTTTTTCCCTGGCCCTGGTTGGCTGTGCGGGTGGCAGCCACTTGATGTGTCCCTTTCACATCGATGTTTCTCTCTCTCTTCCTCTCTGTCCCTCCCACTCTATCTGAACAAAAAAATGGGAAAATGTCCTCGGGTGAGGATAAAAAAAAAAATCAGGAAGATACCTCGGCTGGGAAGGTCATCCCGGAGGACTGAGGGGTCCCATCCCACACCAGACACCCCGCTCAGGGTTCCAGTGCCAGGAAGAGAAGTCCCCATAACTTCTGGCTGGAAAACCAGTGGGAACTGAGGCTCAGGGAGGCTGAGGTGGCTGGAGTCCCAGGCAGCTTCTCTTAAAGGGCCCGTGCACGGACTTATTGGACTCACTCCCTCTAAGCTTGGAGGGAAGGCAGCTCAAGGGGCACCAGAGACATACAGGGAAGAACTGAGCTGTTTGGCATTGGAATGAGGGCTGGAGAGGGGGCTTTCTCCGGGACAAACGTGCTGTCAGAGGCCTTTGTTCCTTTGGTGAGCTCTTCACTGGGGCAGCAAAAAGCCATATCTGGGACTCCAGCAACCTGGCTCACACTGGTTGCCCCACCCTGCTGATTCCCTGAGGCCCCGCCCCACCCAACTTTCAGGCCCACCCAAGTTGTTGCCAGTTGCTTAACCATAGGATTGGCCTGTCTTGGATCCTTCAGGTTTTCCTAAATTCTTTCAAACAAGCAGCATCTGGTCTCAGCTAGCCCCATACCTCTCAGTTAAGTAATACACTGAAACAAACATAGGGAGGCAGCCAAAATGAGACAAAGAAACAGGTCCAAATGAAAGAACAGAACAAAACCCCAGGAAAAGAACTAAGCGAAATGGAGATAAGCAACCTAACATATGCTGAGTTCAAAACACTGCTTATAAGGATTCTCAATGAACTTAGTGAGAACCTCAGTGAACTTAGTGAGGGCCTCAAGAGCATAAAAAAGGACCAGTCAGAAATGAAGGAGGCACTAACTGAAATAAAGAATAATTTATACAGATTCAATAGTAGAGTAGGTAAAGCCAAGAAGCAAACCATCCATCTGGAATACAAGGAAGCAAAAAACACCCAATCAGAACAGCAAAGAGAAAAAAAAATCCAAAAAAATGAGGAGAGTGTAAGGAGCCTCTGGGACTTCAAGCGTGCCAACATTTGCATCTTGGGGTGCCAGAAGGAGAAGAGCGAGAACAAGAAATGGAAAACCTATTTGAAACCATAATGGCAGAAAACTTCCCTAACTTGGTGAAGGAAAAAGACATACAAGTCCAGGAAGTACAGAGAGTCCCAAACAAGATAAACCCCAAGAGGCCCACACCAAGACACATCATCATCAAAATGCATAAGGTTCAAGACAAAGAGAGAATCTTAAAAGCAGCAAGAGAAAAGCAGTTAGTTGCCCTGGCCGGTTTGGCTCAGCGGTTAGAGCGTCGGCCTGCGGTCCGGAGAGACCCGGGTTCGGTTCCCGCTAAGGGCATGTACCTCGGTTGCAGTTTGTCCCTAGCCCTGGTTGGGTCGTGTGGGTGGCAACCACTCGATGTGTCGCTTTCACGTCGATGTTTCTCTCTCTCTCTCTCTCTCTCTCCCTCTCACTCTATCTGAACAAAATACCGAAAAATGTCCTCGGGTGAGGATAAAAAAAAAAAAAAAAAGAAAAGCAGTTAGTTACCTACAAGGGAGTTCCCATAAGACTGTCAGCTGATTTCTCAAAAGCAACTTTTGTAGGCCAGAAGGGAGTGGCAAGAAATATTCAGAGTGATGAAAAGCAAGAACCTACAACCAAGATTACTCTATCCTGCAAAGCTGTCATTTAGAATCGATGGCCATATAAAGACTTTCCCAGACAAGAAAAAGTTAAAGGAGTTCATCACCACCAAACCATTATTATATGAAATGAAAAAGCGTCTTTTTGAAGAAAAAGATAAAATATATCAACAAACAAAAATGGCAATGAATACATATCTGTAGACCACTGAATCTACAAACAAATGAACTGGCAGAACAGAAACATTCTCATAGATATAGAGAACATTTTGTTGGTTGCCAGACGGGAGAGGGGTTGGGGGAATGGGTGAAAAAGGTGAAGGGATTAAGAAGAACAAATTGGTTGCTAGACAGACAAACCTCAGAGGGAAGGGGGTTGGGGGGTGGGAAGAAATAAACCAGAGAACTTATATGCATAACCAATGGACACAGACAACAGTGTGGGAAAAGGCAGGAGGTGGGCGGGAGTGGGGAGGTGGGGGTCAATGGGGGAAAAATGAGGAACATCTATAATATATTCAACAATAAAGATAAAAAAAATCTCATGAGGACTCCCGTCAAAACAGCAGTATAAGTAAACGCGGTACTTGCCTCCTCCCGCAATCACATAAAAATTACAACCAAACTACAGAACCACCATCATTCAGAACTGCCTGAAATAGAGCAGAATGGAAGTCCTACAACTACAAAATTATAGAAGAGGCCACATGGAGACGGGTAGAAGGGGCGGAGGTGTGGAAAGGCTGGTCCCACATCCACATGTAGCAAATAAAAATCAAGAGGGCTGCCCAGGCCAGTTTGGCTCAGCAGTAGAGCACTGACCCATGGACCAAAGAGTTACAGGTTCTATTCTGGTCAAGGGCACATACCTCAGTTTCGGTTCCTCCCTGGCCCTGGTCAGGGTTCTGCAGGAGGCAAGCTAGTCGATGTGTCCTTCTCAAGTTGATGTTTTTCTCTCTCTCCCCCTTTCTCTCCCTCCCACTCTTTCTGAAGATAAATAAAAAAATATCCTCAGGTGAGGATTAAAAAAATAAATAACAAAAATAATAGAAAAATATATGCCAAGCAAACATTAACCATATAAAAGCTACATTAATGTCAGACAAAACAGACTTTAAGATTATTACTAAAGACAAAGAGGCACACTTTATGATAGAATGGTTAATACATCAGGAATATATAACAATTATAAATATATACTGGGTGGGGAAAAAGTAGGTTTACAGTTATGAGTACACAAAACTAAGTTTATTCTTTGTTTTTTTTTAAATCCTCACCCAAAGACATTTTCCCCTTTTTGTTCAGATAGAGGGGGAGGGAGGAAGTGAGGGCGGGGGAGAGAGAGAGAAACATCGACGTGAAAGGGACACATCCAGTGGCTGTCTCCCACACGACCCCAACCAGGGCCGGGGACCAATTGCAACCGAGGTACGTGCCCTTGACCAGAATCGAACCCACAACTCACTGGGCTGCGGGCTGATACTCTAACTGCTAAACCAAACCAGCCAGGGCCTAAGTTTAGTTTTGTATTATTTATTAAATAGTGTATTATTTTCCATAAAAACAACTGTAATCTACTTTTACCCCACCTTGTATATATATT